AACTTAAACAGTCAACGATATCGTCTTTTATCGCACCGCGTGCCGATAAATTCACAACGAGCTCGAATAGCTCTGTTAAACCGTTTCGTTTTCTGTCTTGTCCAATCCCGGACGAGCCCCCAAAAAATGTAATATCGTGATATAATATATGTGTTTACAAAGGAATGGAAGATAGAAAAGACGATTGTTGTTCAACCTGAACTATTCACGCCAAACGTACAGAAAGCAGCACAGCTAGATGATTAGAATACGACTCGACTCTCACAAAACGCAATCAACACTCTCTCGGTAACGCCACTCGCAAGCTCTGCCTCTCCGCTCGCACGCTGCTTCTCGACTCGCACGCTGCTTCTCGACTCCCTGTTGCAGCGCTCTGTTGTCTTCTCCTAGGCCCACCGCACACGTGTTCTGCAGACGCTCGTGGCCAGGGTCACGTAGGTCTTTTCTACGAAACTATGCACTTGAAAAGACCGATGACACATTGATGGTCCCGACGGCGCCTCGGCTCTCGCGACATTGTTCATGGTTCGCCCGATATCTCTTAGGCTTTTCGTCCACGATACTACATGTATAATAAAAGTTATATTAATTTTCAGTAAAATGAAAAGTGAAATTAACAAGAATTATTTCAAGGATAGCTGAACATCTTATCTTGTGTAGTCCACATATGTACAAGAATGCAAAAATAATAAATCCATAAAGCGTAACATCATTCGGTGTTAATATCATTGTTTATTAGAACGAGAAATATAAACCGCGAAATGCATATTTTTAGAATTAACATAAAAATTTTAGTATTGAGACAATTTTTATAGACAACATTCTGAGCTTTTTTGAGATTTTGAGCTTTCAATAAAGCTGTAAATCATCTATAATATGTTTATATAACACTGTTGCTTGATTATATTCATAGAATATCCGAACAAGGTTTGGCTGCAAAATCTTGAGACATTCTGTACATATTTCTCAATGTTCATCCATCGTAACTCTCTTCCTTATAACTACTACTAAATGCAGGATGCACAGATCTATTCAATTCATTAAAACTTTCTCTGTTTCGATCGTCAAGTAAAACTATCCATAAGTCATTGATTTGTTTGTTCGCAGAATCGGTGCACATTCTCGAAATGCAACATATTCTGCGAGGACTATCCGGCGGGGCACGAATTAAATTACATTTCGCGCCAAATGCGACCAAGGCAAAACAGTGTGTTCATTGGATCTAGCATGTCCTTCCTCTCTGGAGGTGGAGGTATACTGCGTCGCACAAAAAGCGCTCTCGATCTTCAGTTCCTGATGTTTTCGGAGAACAACACCTCCAACGAACAGGATGCTTTAAAAAACCTGAAGCCAGCCAACGAGTCCACGAAATTGTTGCGAGACGAACGAAAGGCTAGTATCGGTCAATTGAACAAAATCGAAACGTCTAAGTCTGCCTTTCGAGACAGAGGAATGAGTATCTGTCAATTCGATGCTTTCCCAAAATTATGGCAACGAGACCGCCGGATGAGTGTTTGCCAATTTGACAGGATGGAGGTACTTGCCAGACCGTTGCAAAGAAATCGTGGTGGAAGTATTTGTCACTTCGATAGAATGGACGTGTTAGCCAGACCGCTGCAGAGAGATCGTATAGGTAGTGCTTACCATTTTGATAGAATGGATGTTCTGGCTAGGCCAAATTTTTCTCTTGGCAAAATCTTGATGAGGGAAAGACGCGTCAGCATGAGCAATTTTCTCGAGAAAGACGAGGGAGCAGCGAAAGGTAATCAAATAGCACGGCGTCTAAGCAGCAATAGCGTTGAAAAAGTCGAGAAGGCAGCATCTGTCGACGAAGCGGTATGTGGAAAGAAAAAGGAGAAATTTGCCAAATATATACCCGAAGAAAATAAAAATACCTCTTATCAACTGGAACCGTCATGCAGCAAAGCACCCGAAACTGTGTTTGATTACAAGACTACTTGTCTGTAGCAGGAGAAAATTATACGTAAAACTTATTAATATCCTATTGCTAAAGATCATGTTAAATTTTCAATAATGTAATAATCGTTTTACTGTTATGAAATTATATCAGGAAACGGTATGTAATGATATGAACAAAATATGAAAAAGTAATTACATGATATGTACATTTTATCTCTGTTTCGAAAACAGAAATCTCTGTTACCGACACAAAAAATTGCTTATAACCATAGTTTTTCGTGAAAGTTATTATAGAATTGAATACGCACGTTAAAAACTCTAAGGAGTATAATTATTTATATAGATTCTTTAATAATACGATGTACCAGGTGTTGGTTTACAATACTTCAAGCTTCTATGGAAATGAAAAGTTATAATTTTGAGAGTTAACAATTTCTTTTTATTTTAATACACAATGTTTGCGAAATTTTACACAAAATCATTTCAAAAATGTTTATTCAATAGAAACAAGATTTCCGATAAGAGAAAAGAAACTAATCCTATTTACACTATTTATAAAATTAAATATTTAAAAATGATAAAAATAGACCCACCTGCAAAACATAAAAGTTCATTTTATTAACAGAGGTGAGTTCATTACACTGGTTTATTACGAAAATAAAGTTGTGTATGAGAAATCAAAATAATATTTTATTATAAAAATATTTTAAATTAAACCAGACGGATTCGAATTAATGTGCGAATTATACCTGCACAAATTCAGACCCAACAGCGTTCAAGAAATAAAAGCTACTAATCTAAGTGACTTATTTTCGGGAAATTCAATTCCACTTCACTTAATCACATTCTAACGAATTAATGATTTTCTATAATTTCATGACACATGCAAAATTATATTTTATTTTATTTAAGCATTATTTATTTATATTATAGCACAGTGAAACCTTCTATATTTGTGCTAACTCGTACCAATTCGTACTAAGATAACAGAATGCTCGGATTTAATAAATTTTAACTCTTTTCCGTCTTTACAAACTTCAATAACATTTATGTAGATTTTTGTGGGTTAAAAGAGAATATGCAATACCGTTTTTCCTTATATTCGTAAATTTCGAAAAATTGCAAAGTTTCAACTTTGGAGATGTTTAATACTTTTACAGTAGCAACTATCGAGTTGCATGAGCATTTGTTAATTGTAGTTGTATAAACTTTTATATATGCTTAAATAATTATTAAAAGTGAAAGGGACACCATTTTTGTTTACATTTTTTAATTTATTAAAGCTAAGTCTAAGAGAAAATCTACCGGTAGCTCGCGATAGAAAGGATATCTGTGCAGAGAAAAGCATCAAGAAAAACTAAACAATCAAAATCATATGCTATTCCTACTGTAAAAACGAAACAGGTTGGCAAGACATGCGATGGCGGCAGTGTTACGCAATGCTAGCAATTAATAGCAACGTACGGTTATGTTACGCCAAGCGGCAGGCTTGTCGTTTGTTCGCTACGCGTTCGGCGCGCTTGCAGTTTGAATAGTACAAAGTATCGTGTCTTTATAAAATTAGCATATCATGAAGCAATACATATGTATATATATCGATTCTTTCGATAATTTTTTGTCCCATTTTGTTAATAGGTGTCAAATATGAAATAATACTGAGTACTATGAATACCTACTGAATATTCAGACTTATTGTAAATGATTGCCTGTTTAAATTCTTTTGTTCTGTCTGCAAAATGTATATTTATACTAAATACCTTTATGCAATTATAACTACATTATACATTTTCAGAATCGTTTATTCTCTAATATAATCATGATAACTGGCTGCCGTACCAATTTCAAAACGTTTTATATAACACACATAATAGGTTGAGAAAAAGTGTCGACAAGTGTATGAATAATTTTGTGATCCACTGTAGTTAGTAATGAGAACAAATTGTCAGTACAAAGTGTATAAAAAGTAGGTATAAAAACCACCGTAGCATGATTCTACACGATTCTGCACTTCTGGATCGATGGACATTTGTAAAAGAAAGTTCGTACAAACCTAATCTTCGACATGATTTTTAAAATCAATATTTTTTTATTGTAACAAATTTATTTTATAAGGTTATTAACATGATCAAAGTTATTAACAAAAGTTTCATAGGTCGCAAGTGACTTCATCTCCCGGAAAAGAATATTAAGGTTTTAATAATTCTTAGACTGGCTTTATTCATAATATGTTTATATTTCACATCTAATGAGAAAGTAGCGTACTATTTACAAAACAACAGGAAATTAGAGATTAGCTCGTAAAATATATAAGAATATTGATCATGAATTAATATTGCGACATGTGACTGGGTTGACCCAGCATGAATTAAAGAAGAACAAATTGTTCAAATGAAAATCAATCACATGATAGATCCAACTAGTATGGTATTCGACGGAGTTTCTGATATTGAATGCTACATAAGTTGTAACACGATTCACACTTTTTCGAGGGTGTAATATTTACGGATGAAGGTAGTTTCTCAGATTGCAGTATCCTCGATCGACAAAATGCCAGGATTTGAGCTTACAGAAATCAACATGCAACGGTTGAGAGATTTAACCCAGGACAATTTACCATAAATGTATGGGCAGAAACTGTCCGAAACTATATTCATGTCCCTATTTTTCCGCCTCGATAACATCGATAGCAAGTGAAACCGAATTACGATTTTTACACTCTCATCTTGTAATGTCATCTTCTAAGCAAATTGCGTGAAATTATACCATGGCAGAGTCATCACTTCCTCTATTTTATGCACAATGATCCTCAACTACACAACAGCCGACCGATACCCCAACTTTTGAACGAAATGTTTCGATCACTGTAGATAGGATGCCAACGTGGAGGGTAGCACTCACTTGGTACGGCAGGTCTTCTTATCGCGATAGCCAACGTTATCGATATAAAGAAACGCGCACGGGTCTGCAGGCGGTCGCCATCTTGGTATGGAGGCCCCGTTACTCAGGGCAGGGTTATAGAATCATCGTTAGCCTGGTGCCGATGTACGAATTGATGGTGCCACCTGTACGTACAAGTTACGATACGTAGCATTCGACGAGTATCCGGAACTTGTCGTGCCATCTGGGGACTATTGCTAGTCACGACAGTTAGGTATTCGAGCACCGAATAGGAGCTGGGCGCGTACTACGGTGTATCGAGAGCCATGTGATAAGCTGTATTGTTAAGAGTATTTATTCTCTTCACTCTTTGTTATTGGCCTATCGCCCCTTTTAGTTTAAGACTGGAAGAGTGGGTCTATTCCAATCACAAGAGTTAATTACATGGAATTAGCTCGAATGGGAGGAATTTACTAAGCGAAAGTTCCCGACAAAATGGTGGTTTGCGAAGTTTGGTTCTCGAGACGCCATGTTGTTGTACGGGTCGGTATATTTCCAGGCGCGGTGCTCGTTGTCTACTTGCAACCTCGAGTAGAGGTCGCCACATTACGGACTTCTTGTTTGTTGACAGAATTAGAGTCTGCTCTAATTGAGTTCCACCGTTGTTGAGCCGTTATTTTAAAGATGCTGTTGGGTATTTCCGAAATTTTTTCGCGGTTCAAATCTATTTTAAATAATGGCTTACAGTGACAGCTATCTACTTGCCAAGTCACGTTTCAGGAAAAAATCTGGAAGCACGGGAAATTACTTTAGAACCCTGAGAAGCTCGGCCTGATATAGTCGGTTGCCTGAAAGTTCCATTTTGATATTTCATTTATAAGGACGGCAAGCGCGGGTTTCTCTTAAATTTTTTGGTTGATTGGAAACATTGCCGAAGATGAAAACATAATTTAATGATGCATATACAGATGCAGCTTCCTATTGGCTATACGTGGCAGTAGGATATGTTTGGAAATTTTGGATGCTACGAGCGATGCTCTGTTCTTATCGCCGAATTACTGTACTCTTCTAGGGGATCGTCACACTCTTATTTCGTGAAGTGAGAGTAGCCGGGTCACTGTTGTGCAATGTTGCTACGATATAAGCGTGAAGATTTTCCCTACAGGGGTAGAGCTTGTACTCTGGGTGATCTTCAACGCGCTGATTTCGTGATTTAGCTTTCTATCGTGGTATTTAGCAGGTTCCACGGATAGGGTTAGGGTTGTGGCTCGTATTTGTCTTTAGATATATCGCGATGAAATAAGGGAATACAGAGCCAAAGACCTCACGTACTGACGGACTTGAGAAGACTCACTTGGACTGATTGATAACGACTTTGGCTACGTTTTAAGGACACGACATTCGTATAACTCAATTATGACGAACGCGGCTCTGTTCCTGGACAATGATACCTTTTCTTTTTTGATAAGATAATTATGCATAGTACACATAAGAGTATTAAGGTTACGGCACAGGGGGTTTCGGAGCCTCCAGGCCCCGTCTGTGTTTGGCGTGGTGTTCCACACTCCACCCGACGGTCATCCTTCGACTGGTCAAAAGACGAGAGGAGGCTGGGTACCGTGGTTCCCTCTCGTTTGGTAAATGCGACCAGGGACCGGAGTTTTGAAGATAGCTAGAGCGAAGTTGGAGGAGGTAAAGAAAGGCGTAGAAGAACACTAAAGAAAGGGGCGTCAGGTACTCGCCCCCCCTACCTCGAAGAGGAATACGAAGCTTCTCGAATTTGAATGACATTCGAGAGGTGGTGGAGGGAAAGGAACCCGGCAGCCTAGAAGTAAGCGGCAATAACGGAGGAATAGCGCCGAGTATTGCCACCGTCACCACCGTCAAGGATGGGTATATGCCTTCGGTAGTAGAGGAAAACTCCTTTGTAACTTGGTTGAGTATAACTGGGAAAGCTTGGTTAGCAAAGCCATCGATGAGGAGGTCAGCACATCCGAAGGAGAGGTTTCCGTATCGGATAGTAGCTGTTACAGTACTCGGATGGCAAACAGAAATAGGCGTTCAAGCCATTTATCAAATCGGCGCTGAAGAAGCAAAAGAGTACAACGAGCGCGGAACAAAACAAAGAAGACTGAAGTCAGGATCAGTGAATGGCATCATTAAGGGGCCTTTCTGAATATGAAAGATATTGTGTAGAGACTTCATTTAATTTCCAAAAAGGACCCAAAGATTGTTAGAATTTAATCTTAGAATTAGGATTAGTATTCTGTGGAAGACACAATGTTTGTGTTGAAATAATACAATGTGATATTTATTAAACAATTATTTCAAGAGTTATAAATGTGCGTTCTGGAATGTAGACAGTTGGCTAGTTATTCACAGACTGACTGGCTTAGTGACCCATGGCCCTTGAAAAGGTTTAGAGCCCCACTCTCTATGCAGTAATGAGTGTGACCTATGTGGGTGTCTGTGTGGCGTCACATGTGGCACAGAACCTTCTAGTAGCTTCTCGACGTGCCCATCTAGAATGTTCCATCCATATCCTCACGTTTCTTCCGGCGTTTTTTGAAAAAGCATGCACGTG